TCATGCAACAAACAGTGGGGAGCGAGAAGAGGGGGATATGCTGGCTGGACTGCGGAAAAGAACCTAGAAGATTTGGATTTCTCCAGTGATGACTTATGTCTAATGTCACACAAACTTGATGATCTACAGGCGAAAACTAACAAGTTGGCAGAAGAGGCCGGGCAGTGAAGACGGGATTTCAAGTGAATATAGAGAAGACAGAGGTGATGAAGATACCGCACCAACAACTCCAACAACAACAACAACAACAAGCTCCAATCAGGATAACTGGGAGAAACTTAAAGGAAGTAGCCTCTCCCACCTATCTAGGTAGCACTGTTTCAACTACAGGCGACACAGGCACAGACGAGGACGTGAAAGCCAGCCAGGATCGGAAAGACAACAAGACAGGTGTTCATTAGTCTGAAACCAGTGTGGAGATCTTCTGCACTCAGCACAAAGTGAACAAGATCCGGATTTTCAACGCCAACGACAGTCAAGTCAGTGATTCTGTATGGCTCAGAGACTTGGTGCGTTACGAAAGGCATTTCCAATAAACTACAGACATTCTTCAACAACTGCCTCCACTCACTCATTACTGAAGCTCAGATGGCCAGAATGATGGGAATAAGCAACAAGGAGCTGTGGGAACGAACCAACCAAGAACCTGTCGCTCAACAAATATGCACTGGAAGGAAGTGGAGATGGATTGGGCATACACTGAGAAGGCCGACTGGAGACATCACACGTCAGGCCAGTCACTGGAGTGGAACCCGGATGGGAAGTGACGAGTTGGGCGTGGGTATCCGAGGGTGACATGGAGGATATTGTGTTAGGCGGAAGTGAGAGCTTGTGGGCAGTCGTGGTGACAGGTTCAAACGATTGTAGAGAATAGAGTGGAATGGGGATGTGCTACTGAAGCCCTATGTTCCATTAGGAACCCGAGGGACAAATATTAATAATATCACATACTGATTAATTTACGCAGTCATGTTCTTGTCGGATTCTTGTTTTTAACAAAACTTATCATAAGTGACTTTGGAAACATAAAAGCTCTAGTATACTTGTTAAGTTTACACGTAGGACTGTGGAATTTTTTCAGTATGTTCATATTTTGATGATGTCAAAGAGTGGAAGCTAAAAGCGATGTTGTTCCCACTAAGAAACGAACCCCTCACGCATTGCTACAAATGCCAGAGCGTTATCCAGTAGGCTATCAAGTCAGGATAGCTACTTCTCTTGCGATCCGTATAGTTTTAATGTTGTTACTTGTATTAGCTTGTTGTTGATTGCACTGAGTTGATCGGTCTCTATTGGGATATGGCCCTCTGAGCGGATGTCCTGTCTTGATATTGCCTCTTGTTCCAGTTTAATAACAATGACGGATAGTGGCTAGCAGTGGTATCCAGGCTGCGCGTTTAGTCTTATTTGGGACTCGTCAGCTGGTTGTACCTGCCCTTCCTATTTGAGACACATCAGTTGGATATTAATGCAACTCAGTTGTTTTTAGTGCTCCCTATATTAAACATCTAAATCTATAAAACACGAATTCTAGGAGGAATTTCAGGATTTTTGTTTTCATGTATGAAGTTATCAAACTCTAAGGAAGTTGGAAGTAAACGGTTGTTTTTACTAAATATCTCCATATGACTCTAGTTTTAATTATTGAGGAATCAAAAACGTAACAATTTTGTTTAACAGCCTTTAGTGTTAAGGAGATCAATAAATGAAGGGGTAATTAGTGAGTGGAAATGAATTTCATTTCTGAGCGTGCTCTTCACATTCATACCCTACATTTGGATACGCATAGTGAGGAAACTTACAGTAGATATTATTGACCATAACAACCAAGATGGCAACATTTGTTGGCTAACTTTCATTAAACCATAGGGCGCTACTTGTATATAGGTAGGATGGTATCCAACTGTTATGCATTTAAATATAGCTTGTGTTGTTATGACAGCATTCAACTTATTGTGTAGCTTGTAAATGATATTTACCCAGGATGAGTTTCTTAGTAGTTTACACTGTGATCTCTTTGAATGTGACAGCTAGCTTCATAATGTACCGAAGTAAAAACTACTCATACTGGATATTTCCATCCTACCGGTGTATCTAACGTATGATATACCTTAAGATAAAACCCCATAAACCTCAAATTAGATTATTACATTTCTAACCAGATGATATATGGGAAGATCTAATAATGATATTCTAAAGTAAGGATGAATATACATTTCTTTTTATCCCAAAATGACACAGAAATAATTGATCATTTCTTCAGTAAATCCCTTAGAAACCCCAAGTTTAGTTCATTGATGGATACAAATTCTCAAACGGTAGTGAAAAGGTCTTCAAGTTCTCTTTGTTTTCGCTTAATTTTTTTAGTTTATATTATTACGTGATAGAAACTATATGAAATAACCGTACTAACTGGAACTGTTCGTAAGTAACGTTCATTTCTCTCTTCTCCCTCTACTACTTTATACCTTATTGAGACATAATGATATTACAAATGGAAATCTGGATCTTTCAGTGTGAGGTTGACTTCATCACTGTAAAATGCACCGAATTTTTGTACATATGAAATCACGATAAGAAAATAATCGTTGCTGAACTAGTTCATCGAAAGATAAAAGATATGTGTGAAAGTATTGTGACCACATGGTAGCAAAAATCAACGTTTAGAACTGTAAGCCTTCTGACATACCGAAATAAGTTAATTGAATTCGTGTTTTGTGGGTGTTGAGAGATTTTTCAAGTTGGTATTCGCCATGGAATGACATCGTTTGGAGGAACATTGTAAGCCCAGGAGCACTGGACAACTGTTTCGTCATAGTATAGGACTCTTCGGCAGTGCGCACTCACAACCCCGTCAGGGATCGGACCTGCGATATTCGGGTTCCGTGGCCAGCACTTTACCATTGAGCCACTGGGTCGGAATTCACTGGTTCATATTTCCCACATCTGCCAGTTTATGACATAGCGCAACCATCACCCAATATTATCGTTGAGTAGTTGTCCTTAAGGTCACCAGGTTTGCCCAACTGGTCATGAAATAAATTAGTAGCAGTGTTTGAAGTCGGATTCCTGAGGAAGAGTCGGTACCCTTGAGACTACGTATACCTGCTGACTACCTAAAGTCACGTAATTTAAATATTCCTAACCTATCAGAGAACTCATATGACAATAGGGGATGGTTAGGAGCCTATTCTGACTACTAACCTATGCTCCTTTTGTAACTGGAACGAGGATAGACAACAAGTTAAAATGTCCAGTTTAGGGTTACAATAATATAATTAGATTGGACCGACTTAAGAATTTTCACCGTGACTTTCTTTGGAAAGTAAACTATTCAAATCACATTACATAATTTTCATGACACTGTAAATAACATTAGGAGATTCCCAGTGTGAAAGTTGTGGGACATGTTGTTGACAAGTAAAAAAAATGCATGTAAATGCTGGTTTCAAGTGCACATCAGTAAGATAGAAGTGATCTAAGCACTGAACAGTCGTTCCCGTTATGGAATACCAAAATCCTGTAGCCTGAATGGTCCATTTGAAACAGACGAATTGTTCAAACCACCGGAATTCTAGATATACCATTCAAATGCACAAGAACTTGATATGAATAAATTTAAACTTTTATTTTCTAACTATGAAAGTAAACAGAAAGATAGACTTACTTACATTTCCTGGCTACTCTATAACATTTCATCACTGACCTTGTGAGTTTGTTTTTATCAGACAGATTATACATGGTCCTCAATCAATAATTCCAATCTTATGAGTAGATATTACATCTCTAGATTGTATGATTTTGACTTCTCAATCGACCAGTGCACCCAATCAACCAGAATTGCTTTAATACCACTGAAACAGTTAAATAGTTTGTCGATAAACTGATTACTGTTCAATGAGTACACCTCATATCTAGAGGAAAATGAGACCCACAAGAGGCAAACAACATATGAAATCGATTACTCTGGTGTCACTAATCACTGTTTTTAATCCAGTCCTATAGTCGCGACTCGAATAGCCCGGTGCTAACAGCACTGAGTGACGTGCGTTTGAATATTGCACAGGACATCAGCTCCCTCGAGATCACAGACACGCCTTTTTGAAGAGTGCCAAAAATCCTGAAACGTATCTCCAGGGCTTTCTGCCGATTGCAGCGAACCAACTAACTAAGTAAATATCACTTATCATTCGAAGTAAGTGAATCTCCGTTTTTCAAACTTAACTTATTGAAAAAGGTTTTAAATTGAATGAAGTTAACACTATATATTTGATTAACTGTTGTTATGATAATTATCACAGTGTTGAACTGTTTAAAAAAGAAACCAAAGTTATGAATTCCATTCAATTTGTCAATGAGTTGACTTAAACAGCCAATAACTTGAATGAAGAAATTTCATTTTCATTAAAAACTTTTATAAACTAACAGAATAAAAATCATCATCGTTTCTCCTCATAAGAGTTTAATTTTTGAGTTACTAATGAAAACTTGTGTTGGAGAAAAATTCATATCAGAAAAATATTTCAATGATGTCAAGAAAAGATCAAGGAATTGTGTAACAAAAACAGTTGTAAACATGTTGTATTTACTAAAAACTGGAAGAAAACAGAATCACTTAATTTCATAATTAGGTAAAGTAAAACAATCTTAAACTTAAAGATAAGAAACAATTCACTAGCTACATGGTTTACATCCATTTCGAACTTAATCATTGAACAAATTTCATTTAAATGGATATTTTACTGTTCTGAACTGTTATTACCTTGAGATTTTTTTCAATTTAAAAGTTTCATATATTTGGTAAGTAATAGGAAAAATATAAAAGTATTTATTTATGAAAAATGAATTTTCTACATTACTCTTTATTGTCAAATGTTTCGTTAAAATTCTTTCAAGGTTAATTAAGGTAGAAATGACCTCCAAACATTCATGCACAATTTCGAAATTAAATAAATGTACAATCACCATAACAATGATAAAAATGGGTCTGGTATACTTTTTCAGTTGTTATTTTCAAGTAATTTTTTCAATGCATTGATATAATTAATTGCACCACGTAGTATTTCAACTTTAGCTAACCTTCTATCTGGTAATACTGTTAACGGTAAATGACGTCGTAATGATTCATAACCAGCATTGACACATCGAACACGTTCTCTTTCACGTGCATTTCTAAGGCGAATAAAACTTCTAGCACATTCAAATGATGAAGAAGAGGATGAAAATGATACATATGGTGATGACGTTGATGCTGACGATGATGACGATAAAGATAAATTTATTGCATTTGACTGTAAATACTGATCATGTATTCCATGATCCCTTTTAAAATTTCCTTTTGTTGATATTTGATTTTCATTGCTACTGAAATATCGACCAGTATCAAAGTTGACTTGTTTATCTGTACATTCATTAATTCCATTTAATGAATATGGACATATACAAGTCCAGTGATGTGTTGAACGCGATGAATTACTTCGAAACTTTTTAGATACTTTTGATGGCGTTGATGAATTGATTGTCTCAGTATGATTAAGGTTGCAGAAATGATTCATCTGCTGTGGTGGTGATGATTCATTTCTGTGTTGTGTATCACTAGGATAAATAAACTTATCCATAGATGTATTGGGATGACAATGATGATAATAATAATAAGGTAGTAGATTTAAAGGATGATTTAAATAATGACTTAACATGAATTCATCATTCAAAGGACTATCAAATGCGTTTCTTGAACTTATTGAATCTGTTATATGATCACTTTCCATTGTTTGTCTTGATGCCATCGTTGATACTGGATGTGATATACTAGGACTGTAATCCTCCTGACATAACAATAGACTACCATTTGACTGCAAGTTATGCATTCTGTGTAAATCGGATGGGATTGTTTCTGTCACTAAATCTAGTGTAGATTTATCATGCTGCACATATAATATGCGATTATCCATTTTATGAAAAAAATAATATTCAGCTACAGAATTAATTCTTTCCCATATATGTTAGTCATATATGCATTGCAGAACGCATAGGTGTTAAATAAGTGGCGGTCAACATTTTGATTGGTTGAGGATTTCAAAACTCTAAGATTTGATTGGTTATCCTTAAAATATCATTCAAGTACTCTAACCAATGAGAAATTTGACAATATATATTGTGATTTAAAATGAGAAGGGATAATTTTTTATTCTTTTTCAACCAATCAAACGCTAAAATATTAGCAAACAATAGTATTTTTTCGTGTGAACTATGATAAGGATATGACCGAATAGTATGGCAAATATTGGGCGCTGAGTCAAAGACTGATATTATATGCAGAAGTAGTATTCATCATGGACTGACATCAGTTGGGGAACCATTAAAAATCTGGGAGCACTGGACAGCTGTTTCGTCCTAGTATGGGACTCCTCAGCAGTACGTACCCACTACCCGGCTAGGGGTGGAACTCAGGACCTTCAGGTTTCACGGCGAACACGTTAACCATTCAGCCACTGGGTCGGTTTCCAACTTCTGTCAATTCACGATATAGCGCGACTGTCACCTAAGGTCTTCAGTTAGCATCCACTTTACTTCCGACTGGCTGACATTACCCTATAGTGCTCATTTGTGACTTGCTTCCAGATGGATGTTAGGAAGTTCTAATGAGAAGCCGTGACCTGTGGGGTCAACCAGTTGGAAGTAAAGTGGATGCTAACTGAAGACCTTAGGTGACAGTCGCGCTATATCGTGAATTGACAGAAGTTGGAAACCGACCCAGTGGCTGAATGGTTAACGTGTTCGCCGTGAAACCTGAAGGTCCTGAGTTCCACCCCTAGCCGGGTAGTGGGTACGTACTGCTGAGGAGTCCCATACTAGGACGAAACAGCTGTCCAGTGCTCCCAGATTTTCAATGGTTCCCCAACTGATGTCAGTCCATGATGAATACTACTTCTAAGTTAAAAATCGCCATTCATCTCAAAAATATATTGATATTATATGTGTCTGTACAATAACAATGATAATAGTAATACTAATAATAATAGTAATAATAATAATAATAATAATTCCAACCTTTCGCACGGAAATCTAGTTTATTCCCCTGAAGAATCTCGGACCAGGCTTCCGTGTGAAACTTCGAAATTATTTAATTTGAAACACACTGTGATTCACACAAATACAAATACAAATATATTTGATGTCAATCTGTTTCTATCTCAGCAAAATTTCGTACCACAAGGATGCCTAACATTAGCTGAACAAGAAACGGTTATTGTAATACAGGTATCTAGTGAGTAGTTCTGTAGCGTTTCTAACAATGGAGAATGGGATTGAGTAACAGTAGGAATAAATATCAAAACTAATATCCAGCAGATGCATTCAAAACACGGCAGTATATACTTTTGCTACTCATCTGTTATACACTACAAACAGAAACCAGTGAACTTTATATGGCGAAAAAATGTAGATAAAACATTATAAAAACCAATGAACTACTTTCAGTGATCTTTATTGTTTTCATAACAGGGTTTAACTAAACTGAACTTAGTCCAAGTATTTGAATTAAAGGAAATCTGTCGAACAGTTGCAGAGATTTAAATCAAAAATGTTGAGATATTTTTTAAAATTATCTTAATAGATATACGCGTTTAATACACATAGATGTTCATCGATCTAAGCCAACTCTTCTCATTATTTAATGTTGAACTGATGCAAGATCTTTCCAGAAAAAGTTAAATTTTTCTGAATGTCTTACTCACATATCAATCGGTTTCCAAAGTAAAATTCCAGTCTATCTGTGTATGACATAAAAAGGTTTAATTACTACAGGTATTAATTCATTTTCTTTGCAATGTTTGAGATACTGAGATAACAGGATACCGATTATATTATATCACTAGTTAAAACATTATAGGTCTTAATTTGGTGGAAATAATAGCACTTTAGACAGTATTACTTGAACGGAGTTTTCACGCATGGAACAGACGAATCTAATGAAGTAGGCAGTATGTTGATACATCTATGAACAATAAGTCACCCTCTGAGGTTGAGAACCTTTACCAACTAAGGTGGTTTGATCATGTGTTGCAAATTCTGAACCAACGCCGACCCTGATATGCATTGTTAGCCAGAGTTTGATTGGGTTGAAGGAAGGCTAAATTTGGCCAAACCAAAACGTAGCATCGGTTCATGAAGTCTCCGACTATCCATCTGAGTTATGTATGAAAGTGGACTGTCTTTTCGGGGTCTTTGAGATAATAGGAGTAAATGATCGAAAGTTGATCACAACCGCATAGATATATTCACTCTGAAAGATGTTTGAGAATATGAGGATTTTGAATAACTTTCACTTATTGCTTCTTTCTTGTCTCACGCGCTTTTTTTCCAGCGTAATTTCCCTCATTTTCTGTCTACTAGTTCTTCACATGCTGCTATGAGATGCGACAAATTGCACAGGGGCGATCCTGCTCTACCTTGGTTTTTCAATCTGTCTGTCTGTTGGTGAACAACTTACATTCTCCATCGCTGTACAAACTTAGAACAAATAACTGTTCACCTCAAGAGTATGTTGAGAAGAGCTGCTTGTATGCAATGGTAAATACAACTAGCGTACAGTTTTTATCATTAGCCATAAGCTTTACCAATGGATGTTAGTAACCTCCTGAATCAAAATTAACAACTCAGTGAATACTTTCAACTGTTTCCTCACTTGAATGATCTGTTGCTGTATACCAGAAAAGCGTTAATAACTATGCATTTTTGGTAAGTTTAGGCATTCGAAACACACATTGGCAGACCTAATGATATAAAGTTCACTTGAAGGATAAGGGTAAATAGTTCAAAAGCAATGACAGCTATTGGCTGAGACATTGTAACGGTAGACAACATTTCCCATGCATGCAATGGATGCTTATAGATGAGTTTCCATTAACTGGTAACTAGAGAATAACCAACGCCATTTTGCCTTAGTACTAATCACGTTCGGATATAGTAGCCCAGCAGGGAAGCTCACGTCACACTGTTAGGTTACTCATAGACAGTTAGCATTGTGCACTGAATAGGGTTTCCTCCCGATTGTTTTAACCTCATTAAGACAAGTTTGTATTTGAATGAATTACCGTAAGATGCGAGTTACAACAAGAAGTCAACTATTGGTTCATTTCACTCAACTAACCCTGACTACCCAAATGCACACACTGAATGAACACTGGTAGACAAACATACTTTCAAGTAAATAAGAATTCATTTGGATGGTTTATCTGTAACTGATTGATTTCAATGTATTCATCAAGAATTTATATCATCTAGTGAACTATTGAAAATCAATTAAGCAACAGATAACTGTTTTCTCCTATTGTGAGACTGGTCAACACTGCATATCCACAGTTTCATTTAGAATTGAACCTAACTGGTGATTGTTCCCTATTTGTTTGCTAATCTTTTGAATCATTTAGATCATTGGTGAGTATTTAAAAATAAATTTGTATTCTTGGATAGATGGGACCAGAAGTCTTTTTAAACTAGTAAAGAAACAGGAAGTTAATAGTAATTTTATCTACTGAGTATCAGTTTTGACTTTATAAAATAGTCGTGATTTGACAGACTTGTAGTGATACTGGGTGATGGTTGAAGTTGAAATGAAACTGTGGGCCATAGCGAAATTCCAAGCAGCGACCACCAGGTTTTCGGCCTAGTGCTCTACCAACTGAGCTGCAAGACTCGGCTGCTAAACTTAATTGGTTGCCTTTCCAATACTGAAAGATGATTTTATTTTGAGCGATTTCATTTAGCATAATACTGACTTTAATGGTGGATAGTGGCTAGCAGTGGAATCCAGGACACGCGTTTCGTCCTATTTGGGACTCGTCAGCTGGATGTGACTGCTTCCCAGTGCGTGGTTGTTCCCACTGGAACTCGAACTCAGGACCGATAGCCTCAAACGTTAGAGCGTTATCCACTTGAGCAGCGAGTGACGATAGCCACTTCTTGTGACTCATACACGAAACACACGTCCTGGATTCGACTGCTAGCTGCTATCCATCGTTAATCTATAATTAAAACACAGGAAATATCGAGGCCTTTGTTCAGGAGCCTATATGCCAACAGAAACCTTTCAGTTCGGTCCAATCAACCTCCGGATAACACAAGTAACAAAATTAATATCAACTTTGTTGGCAAAAGTTGGAAATGTGGATAACTGAGTTTGAACCCAGTGGGCAATTAGTAACGGGCTGGTTTCGTGACTGAATGACTTTGATTGCTCATCATAAAATTATGGATGTGCACTGTTTGAGAGTCCCCAGTAAGGATAGAACAGTTTTTCATTGGTCCTAAACATTTGGTGGTTCTCCACCAGATATGTCATTCAATAATGAATACTTTAAAATAACCAGTTTTCTTTTCTTTGGTTCGTTTATTCATAGAACCTCATTATAAGTTTTTTTAAAAATGTGATGAATAGAAGTAAAAACACCCACTAGGTGGGAGAATTCAGCAGAGAAGTCCGACATGAGAAGAATAAACAATCCTCATCAATCCCTCTACTTTTTACTTTTCATCCTCAGTACCAAGATGAGTTTACCGACTATATTCAATGAAATCCTGAATTTTGGCAGGATTCAAAGCAAAGGGTTTTGAGCTGCTGGAATGGACTTACTTTTTTCACCTGTCTCCAAACAATATATTTCTCTGTTAAATCATTACAATCTTCAATTACATATGTTTAAAAACAGTAAAGATTAGTTTTTCCTCTGCTTTTGCAGTGAATCAATTTAACTACATGCACAGAGAATTATTCATATCGTATAATCATGATTTAGTTATGACTGCAACCTATTTAATAAATACTCTATCTGTTTTCATGTTTTCATAGATTTGCATCAGTTGGAGAAAAATTGTAAACCTGGAAGTACCGAACAGTTGTTTCGTCTTATTACGAGAATCCTCATGAGTTTACACCTACAACCCCAATAGA